TATGTTTTTCGAAGACAGCCTCAATTGACTTTTTATCACAAATATCCGCCTTTTCAAAGGTTACGCCTTTAGGGATGGATTCTACATGACCTTTAGAAAGATTATCAACAATAATAATCTCATAACCAGATAAGGTGGAAAATTCACGAACAATGTGAGAACCAATATAACCAGCTCCACCACAAATGAGGACCTTCATTGTTTTTAAATAAACTTTGGTTTGATAAAAAATCGTAACTTGATTAATAATTTAGTTTATTACGCGTAAAACGTTGAGAAAATATGATTTTTAATTTTTACATACCTTTTTTTTAAATAATAAAAAATTTAAATAAATAGATACAAAAAAAAAGTTTTAATCAGGAAATAATATAATCGTATACTATATTTACTTGGAACATTAAAATCAAATTATGTTATTTGATTTAAATTAATATGGGAGAAAACTTTTTTTTTCTTCAGGTTATCCATGAGAGTAAATTTATATATGTTGTGTAAAACAAACGTAATGCAATGCAGTATTCCACGTTGATGTTTGTTTGATTTTACTCGATCTAAATTTAGTATCATTATCACATGTCACTTTACCCGTCCCATCTATATATAGTATATTCATATTAGATTAAATTGCTGGGTCAGGCCGTCAGGGTGATATAAATTTTTTTTTTTTTTTGTAATACTTAGTTGATAACGCGAAAAAGAAAACTTTTCGGGAATTTTCAAATATGAAAAAATCAAAACGAGCATCCACAGCTCGAGATCATTTGGAGGTACTCCAAACAAGAGTTGTCGTAGAACGTGACAATGTTTCTAGTGTAAATATAGATTTGGGTAAATTCAATATCAAAAAAAAGGGGGGCTCAAATAACTAAATTTTTTTTTTCATATATTTAAGATATCTTCTAGTGATTTTCCCTTTCATACTAGTAACCGATATCCCAATCATGACTTAGCAGAAAAATCAAGAAATGTATACTTAATGCTTCAGTAATTTTGTTTTTTTATTAATTTGATAAGCCAAAAGTCTGCCAACCTAGTTCTAATTTGAATTAGTTCGGAACTATACATTTGTAATTTGTCTTTTATTCACTTCAAATTCATTATTAGAAAATAATAGTTGCTATTGAAAAAAAATCTCAATATGACATGGAATTTGATATAATTGGAATTGATGCGTCAATAGCGAACGCGTTGAGAAGAATTATGATCGCGGAGGTATGCTTGTTTATCAATTTTAGAAATTGATATTATATTAACAATAACTGCTTTAAAATCTAGGTCCCTACTATGGCAATAGAAAAGGTGTTTATTTATGATAATACATCAATAGTACAAGATGAAGTCTTGGCACATCGGTTGGGTTTAATTCCAATCAAAGCTGATCCTGATGAATTTGACTTTAAACAATGTAATTTATCACACAATTCTTATTTTTAATTACATCTTATTCACAATTCGTAATTTTCAATTATAGCAACCGAGCATCCTACAGATCAAAACACGATTGTTTTTAAACTGAAACAAGAATGCAAGCGTAATCCTAAAACTTCAGTAGACGAGAAAGGCCCATTGTATATAAATCACAACGGTAATTACTTATTTTATTACTCGACAATAACAGTACATAATTATTTCAAATTATTGATGCGGTTTTTTTTTAGTTTATTCCATAGCTCTTATATGGGAACCCAAAGGTGATCAGGCTGAAAGGTTTAAAGATGTTACCATTGGGCCTGTTCATGATGATATCCTTATAGCACAAATGAGACCGGGTCAAAAGATAGAATTGGAAGCACATTGTGAAAAAGGATGTGGCAAAGAACATGCAAAATGGTCTCCAGTTGGTAAGATATTTATTTATTACTCGTACAGATTCTAAGTATATTTAGGGATTAAATGATAGTCTCTTCGTTCAGCAACCGCATCGTACCGGCTAATGCCAGAAATAATATTAAAAGAGGAAATTACTGGAGATTTGGCCGATAAATTTGCTTCATGTTTTGCCTCGGGTGTTGTTGAGGTTGAGAACAAAATGGGTAAATATTCCACATAATCTTCATATTTTGAGAATATATTTTAAAATAAAACTTTTATTTTTTTTCAGTTGATGGGGAGCTTAAAAAGGTTGCAAAGGTTGTAAATTCACGGCTTGACACTGTCAGTCGAGAAGTATTACGGCACAAAGAATTTGAAGGAAAAGTGCAACTAACACGGATACGGGACCATTTCATTTGTAAAGATTTTTCTGTTTATTTATTTTTTTTACATTTTTATATTTAATTTTTCTATTATTAAGAGTTATTTACATTTTATAGTCAGAGTTGAATCTACGGGCATTCTAGATTCGGAAAAAATTGTTTTTGACTCCTTACAAATTTTATCGTCTAAATGTACGATGCTTTTAAAAGCATTGGATATAAAATTAAAAGAGAAAGAAGAAACTGAAACAAGTCAAAACAATGAAAATGCAATGGAATTAGATGCTTGATGATCAATTTTTATATCCATTTAATTGAAGATTGTTGTTTATCTACTGCTATGGTGTTGTTTCTTTGTTCATCTAGTTCTGCTTTATTGTAGGATGTATATTTAATTAATAATTAAACTTATTAATTGTATGAAAAAAAAAAAAAAAAAAATAATAATAATAATAAAATTAAAATTACCGTTATCTGAATTAATTCTTTTTTTCATATATAAATTATTATTATCTACATTTTCACCATTTTCTAAAATGGCTATCGTTTCTTCAAGTTTTGCAATCTTTAATTGCATTTTTTCTTTATATTCATTATAACTCATTTTAGACCATTTTAAATGTAATAACAATGAACCGAATGTAACCCAAATAAAATATGAATAAATATAAGGAGAATATTTTTTTAATGTGGATTCTTTATTAGGTGTACTTGAGGAAGATAGAGACGCAATAGAAGAATAAGGATTTTTTATATAGAAAGTAGGTTTGAAAGAATTCTTTTTGATAAGATGAAAGGATAAAAATGTGGGGTAAATAGGATAAGTAAAAAAAGTATATTTTGGTGAACGATTTAATAATTTAATAAATAATTTTGAAGACATTATATATTGAGATTTTGAAATATTAATTGTTAAGGAAAAAAAACAAATTTTTCCATTTTATCATCAAATCTCATAATCTCGTGTAACACAAAATTTTTTAAATTGGACACGTGATGGTATTGAACATCAATCAAAGTTTAAATCCAGAATGTAATGCAGCAATTCCAAAAGTTAGATCTTCCCATCCATCACCTACAATAGTAAATCCCGAATTCATTATCATTTGTGCAAATTGTTCTTGTGAAGGAAATTGACGAATGCTTTCCACCAAATATTGATATGAATCCCTATCCGAAGCAATTACTTGACCAATTACTGGAATTATCTGAAAGGAATATAAATTATATATTCTAAATGCACCGAAATAATTAGTCCTTTTTAGGATTACTTTTAAGAGATAGATTAACTTAAGATGAGTTTTCAACTTACGATGAGATTAAAGGGTTCTGGACTTTACCGAATTCCAAACACATAAATCTTCCACCAGGCTTTAAAACCCTAAAAGCTTCGTGTAATACACGGTCTATATGAGTGCAATTACGAATACCAAATGCTATTGTGTATACGTCATACGAATTTGATGGAATAGACGAAAGATCTTCCGCGTTTCCTACTTCGAATGTTACTTGCGAAGCTATAAAACGTAGGAAAATAGAAATTTAAATTCAAATTTAAATAAAAATAATAAACACATAAGATCAATTTAAAATACCTACTGTTATGATGAGGAGTTTTGGAAAATCGTTGTTTACCAACTTCTAACATTTTAGGATTAATATCCAGTAATTTAACTTGTGCGCTAGTATCTCCATGAATTTCTTTACAATAATTAAGAAATCCCATTGCAATATCACCTGATTGAGAGTAATTTGATTAGTCTGTAATGAATCAATTAACCGATTTATCAGAATACTATCTACCAGTTCCTCCAGCGACATCCAATAATTTTGTGCCAGGTCCCGGAGCCATAGTTCTGATAGTATGATCTTTCCATAATCTATGAACACCTAAACTCATTGCATCATTCATTAAATCATATTTTGTTGCAACATTTTCAAAAACTTGTCCAACTATTAATGATTATTATTATTGATTAAAAGATTTATTGAGATATATATATATATATATCCTTTGAACAATTCATATCAAATTTATCAAAATTATCTTGAATTTTCTTCACCTAAAGTTTCTTTCATACTCTCTGGTACACTTTTGAACCCAAAGTGTGTCCTAGGTTCTTGACTCGTGTCATGTTGGTTTTTTTGTTGCTCTGAAAAATTTGCAGTTGTGTTAACTTGTTGAAGCCTTAAAGATGTTGAATAGTATTTTTGTAAACTATTATTATAAATATGGTTAGTTTTAGTTCTTATTTGGCGAAAGAAGAAAGCGCGTTTTAAGTGAATTCGTGGAAACATTTTTTTTTTGTGGCTTATAATCAACTGTACAGACTACAGAGTATGTAGAGTAACAGGCAGAATGTGATCATCTTGATCAACAGTATTTTAATTCTAATCGAAATTCAAAGAACGTGATATCGATTTTACAGTGAATGCTTTTCTAAACAGAAACTACTGTATGTTCAAATAATCAAATATGTTCAATGGTCATGAATTTGATATAGTAATTGTTCTTTCTAAGAGAATCATACTACAAATTGATTGCATACTATATGTATTCAGACATGAGATAGATGTGAAAACGCGTCTTTTCATAGTTCAAAAATACAATATAAAAAAAATTTCATTAAAAAATGTTATTTAAAAAAAGTAATAAGTTAGAAATAAAATTCTATATAGAAAAAATAATGTAAAATTCAAAGAATTTTTCGAAATTTTTTTTTATTGGTCTTAACACGTGAAATCAAAAGGAGATCATGTGATCAAGAAAAAAATTACGTAAAAAATTAAAAATTATTTGATGCCCCATATAAGGCTCGAACTTATGACCTTCGCGTAACTGAATCTGAGGATCAGATCCTATTAGCACGACGCTCTAACCAACTGAGCTAATGGGGCTTTGATATTAATCGTGAAAAAAATTTTTAATATTTAAAAAATTTTGAACAGGATAAAAATGGATAATGACACGAAATAATTTTTATTTTGTACAAAAAAAAAAAATAAAATAAAATAAAATAAAAATAAATAAAAATAAAAATAAGATAAAGGAAAAATAAATTGATACAAAAAAAAAAAAAAATAAATAAATTTTCAAAAAAAAATTTCAAAAATTTTTTTGTAAATTTCGTCTCGTTCAAAAAGAAAACCAAATTTTAAAATTCTTAATATCCATGTCAAACATGTCAAATAATAAATGATATACTATAGAATTCTCTATATAAAATAATTCCCGATGTGTAAGATATGAAACCTATTTAATTGCATACCGATATACCCGATATATCCATACATATCCAAAGACATACATATTGTATTAAAACGAAAATTCTTTTTTTTTTCACATAGATATTCGCGTGACAATGAAAATAAATGAAAAAAATGTGTCAATATACTATACACTGATAGGATATATTTAGTTAAAGAATTATGTAATATTTAATAAAAATCGATATTTTTATTGTAAAAATCATTCATTTTTTTTTTTTTACAGAATATCATGTTTTATTATTGTACTAGTCAAATCTTAACCTAATTAATCTAATTAACGAAATAATTCCCGCCCAAAAAAACTTAAAGATGTGATACGAAAATTATCATGTGAAAAATGAAGGAAAATTTTTTTACATGTGTAAGTTTCCAAAAAGAAAACTAGCCCAAAGAATAAATAAAATGAAAATGAAAATGACTTGTTGGTAACTTTAAGTTTATATATTCCCGTTGACCCGTCTCATTCAAAAATCCCAAATTCATAACTTTTTTTTAAAAAAAATTTTCATACATTAAAACCCCAAAAAAGGGACTTTTTAAAAGAGAATGACCGTATGACACAATCACATAAATAATTACCGCCACACATTAAATTCAGTACAATGAAAGAATATACAATGGTTCTTTATTTAAAATGAACTTATTTTAAATGCATATACATTTATGGTTAACAAGAAATCTTTCCCTCCACAATGAGATCTGGTAATACCTGGTTTTTTCCAATTGGCATTTCAAGTGTAAAGATCATCTAAGATAACCCCTTAGAATCGTTTGGGAACCGTTTGGTGATAAAAACCTGATTGTAAAAAAAAATTGCGTCAGATATATGAAATATAACAGATTTACGTTTGTGGATCTTTGCCTAAATTACCTGTTGTAAAACTAGATATTTTTTGATCGACGTACGATATTTTTTTTTTTTTTTTTCTTTTTGGTTCACGATTATAAACAATCTGTTAAAACAATGGGACATAAAAATTGATTTATGTTGTGAAACATTCAAAAGAATGTATAAAAGGTTAATGACTATTAATTTTTTTTTCTTTTTTTATTATCACGTGACGAAGATATAAAAACCCACGTCGAAAAATAATAAATACTAAAAAGAAACTTTCTCAGATTTATTAAAATTTAATATTTAACTAAATCTTAGGGTTACATAGTTGATATCATAACCGTTTTTTTTTTTCAATACTAGATTCTCTTTTTTATTTTTTCTTTTTTAAGGTTTTTTTTTCTTTCTTATATATTTCTCAACACGCGTAATTTTTTTGGGTTTGCTTTTAAAAAAATTGTTATCTTATCATACAGTTATTTTTTTTTTTTTTAAAAGTGGATGAAAACATTAACGAAAAAAAAAAATTATTCTTTTTTTTTTTTAAACGTAATAATCTTAATGTTGAAGTTGAATTCGATAATTCTATAATATCTACAAAAAATATTTTTATTGGATACTCATAATTCTGATCTTAATCGAAATATTAAGTAGAATTGATGAGAATCCTCTAAACATATCTACAAAAAAAAAAAAAAAATCGAGTAATAATTCAAAAACGTTCGATTATGAAATATATATATATATATATATTTCCTTTTTCCTTTATGCCTTTAAGTAATTTCCATTGATAGGCCCGTTCATTTGATGATGATTAATTGGAATGTCAGGCCTTGGACGTTTAGGAGGACTTTGCATCATTTGAGTTGATTGGTGTGGTGGTGCAAGATGCATATTTCCCATAATTCCAATTGTAGGTTTAGGTTGCGTGACAATTGGTTGAATAGAAGGTAATACTTGAGTGTTTCGGGCCATTTGAGTAATTTGGGTAATTTTATGAACTGGAGCTTGTGTTGGTTGATGTTGTTGCATCGCCGAAAGAGCACGTTTTCGAGTCAATTTTGCAAAGTCTATAAATATATTATATCGAAATTAGGTCATAATTAAAAAAAAAAAATGTTCCTAATTTATAATTTTATTTATTACTCACGTAAACCACAAGCGTTACAAAGAGTTCTTGCACCATCAGGACCTCGACGCCATTCTGGAGTCTCGGATATATTACATGAATGACACCTTCCGGGAGGCGCAGCACGTTTCTAAAGGAAAGGGATCCTTGTCGATCACTCATTTTGATCGTATTAGAAAAAAAAAATTATTATATAAACTAAAACTAACTTACACTTCTTTTTCGATATTTAGTACGAGTTGCGGAAGGACCAACTGTTGTTCTTTTGGTTCTGATTAAGTTTATTGTATCTTGGTCATTCTATTAAATATATTATTGTTTTATAAAAATAAATTTAATCTTTTATAATTTTTTTTTTAAGTTAAACCAATATATTATTAAAATGTGATGAAAATTTTTTACCGAAACAGTTTGACCAATTTCACTTTTGACGTTATTCAATACATTTAAAATTTCACACGTCCTGCTGATCATCTCAGTAACTTGTTGTTCTAGATTCACAACTGGTGTTCCTGTAGGACCGGAAATCCAGGGGCTAGGTGGGAATGGATTACCACCAAACTTGTTCGCTTGATTACGATAATCCCCGTATTGTGCTGCAAACTGACTAATTATAGTACAGTGGTCTGCAATCTAAAAATCATGAAAGATTACTAATTATGATTATAAAGATTTTGTCTCATTTGTCTTATTTGTAATTTTTTCTCACCTTCTGCATATCAGATAACATCTTATCAGTATTCTGCGTACCAACATTTGATTCTGCATTATCTTTAACAAAAGTTCCATTATTCTGATAATCTGGAGAATAATTATTGGTTACAAATCGAACCGGTTTTGTATCCATAGTTTGACCATATATTGGAGGCTTTTGAGCCAATGTGTTAGGTGATTGAGATTGTTTTGGAGAATGTGAAATTGTTTGAGGTCTTGTCCACACCGTAGAATTTTGAGCAAGATGTGGTGGTGATTGTGGTAATAAATCACAATTGTTTGAACAATCCAAATTACATTGTTGTGATACAACTTGAGAGTTCCTAATACCATTTGATACTGTGGATTGTTTTGAAGTACTATTATTATTATAAATGGGCAGAGGTTGTTGTTGTGGATGTAAATGCATATTCGTTGTTGTTGTTGGTGGTGGTGGTGGTGGTGGACATGAAGGATAAGCTTGATGTTGTTTTATGGATGATGATGAATGGATATTTGTAATATTTTCAAAATGTTTGATAGAAGGCAAACGCATATCACACTGTGAAGTATGCCCAACGCTATTTTGATGCGGACGATGGTCAGGAGAATTCAATTGCCCTGATATATGATTCTGGGGAGTAGAGAACAGGGGAGAAGATGTTCTTGGTATATGTTGCTGTTGCTGTTTATGTTCCTCGTGGCTCACACTATCATGTACGAATAAAGTATTATTATTATTATTAGATATCATTGAAGAATTATGACCATTCATAGAAGTCGAGCTTTCTCCTTGAATTTCTGATAAACTATGCTGAGGTGTTGGTCGCAATAACACTGATAATGGAGGAAGTATTCCTTTCGGTTCAGATGTTGTCTTGTGAACTCTATATAAAATTGAATTATTAAAAAAAAAAAAAAAAAAAAGAAAAAAAAAATTCGCAAAAAGAGAGAAATAATGAGAATAGTTCTTACGGTTGCCTATTAATATGTGACGTCATAATAGTTTTTGAGCCAGTCATGTGATCGATCGATGGCAAAGAACATATATCCATCGTTTTTTTTTCTTTTAAAAGTTCGATAAAAAGGACAAACCAAAAAAAAAAAACTAATATATATATATATATGTATGTATGTATGTATATATATATATATATATGTTTGTGTGTATATATATATAAAAAAAAATATATAAAAAAAAAAAAAAAAAAAAAAAAATAAAAGGAGCCAGAAGAAAATTTACAGCAGACAGAGACTAAAAAAAAATATAATGAAATTCGTTAATTTTATATAGGAAAGTTCTATGTACACAATTTAAAAAGTGCGTGGTTTGTCATATCAAAGAGAGCATCATCGCAACAATGCAAAAACAGAGATCTACGCTTCATTTAAAGGATTTTTTGCTTCATGCCTTGCGCCCAAATTTTTTTTTTTTTTTTTTTTTTTTGTTCCTGCAGAAGAAAAAATGCAAAGTATCACATGGTATCACAATGTGCTAATGAGTGTCGCATTCTTCCCTTATCTTATCAAACAATTCCCAAGTTCGTAAAGTAATAAGATCCCCAATCTGTTTTGAGAGTATAAATTTATTATAACAAAAGTTTCCAAAAGAAATCATTTTAATCGGTTATAGTTTTTTTTGGCTGGGGGTAAGTGCCCGGATTGTTTTGGTCAAAGATTCCGCCAACTGACAGCAAATAAACAACATAACAAAACAAAGAAACAAAATAGAAGAAAAACCCTTATTCTATCGCGTACATGGGGTATATTCTAATTATTTAGTAAACCATTTCGTTTGGTAGACAAATGCGATGGTGCAATGTTGTACAAACTTTTTTGCACACTTAATAACACTTACACGAAATAAAAAAAAAAATCGATAACCAAATTTGTTTCAACGATAGAAAAAAAAATGGGAACTCTTTTTTTTTTTGTTCTTTCAATGTCTTCGTTGGTTCGAATAATTATCAC